GCTCAATAGAATATGAGTAGAGTGTATGTGCCTGGCTTGATAGTATATTGCCGATTCACACTGTGATCATGCTTAGTGATCAATGTGAGCAACGTGTGATCACAGTGAGAATCGTGTGATCACAGTGAGCATCGTGAGAGAACAGTGAGCATTTTGTGATCACAGTGAGCCCCGTGTGATCACAGTGAGAATCGTGTGATCACAGTGAGCAACGTGTGACCAATGTGAGCAACGTGTGATCACAGTGAGCAACGTGTGACCAATGTGAGCAACGTGTGATCACAGTGAGCAACGTGTGACCAATGTGAGCAACGTGTGATCACAGTGAGAACCGTGTGATCACAGTGAGAATCGTGTGATCACAGTGAGCACCGTGTGATCACACTGAGCACCGTGTGATCACAGTGAGCATCGTGTGATCACAGTGAGCCCCATGTGATCACAGTGAGCATCGTGTGAGCACCGTGTGATCACAGTATGCTCCATGTGATCACAGTGAGCCCCGTATGATCACAGTGAGCACCGTGTGACCACAGTGAGCACCGTGTGATCACAGTGAGCACCGTGTGATCACAATGAGCACCGTGTGATCACAGTGAGCATCGTGAGAGAACAGTGAGCCATGTGTGATCACAATGAGCACGACGAGATAACAGTGAGCACCGTGTGATCACGGTGAGCCCCTTATGATCACAAGGAGCATGGTGTGATTACAGCGAGCACCGTTTCATCCCAGTGAAATCGTATGATCACTGAGCATCATATGATGAAAGAAAGCACCACATGATCACAGTGAGCATCATATGATGAAAGTAAGCACCGTACGATCACAATGAGCATCGTGTGATAACAGTGAGTATCGTTTGCTAACAGTGAGCACCGTATAATGACATTGACCATTGTGTGATCACAGTGAGCACGGAATGATGACATTGAGCACAGTATTATGACAGTGATCACCGTGTGATGACAGTGAGCATCGTGGTTTTCGAAGTTGCCTGCTGCTGTCCAATCGAAGTTTCGATTGGACAGCAGAAAATAACATGATATTTAGCAGTGTTAAATTTCAGGTACTCAGGTACGGCAAATATGAGGATCTGAAACATAATACAGGGTACAAAACACAATCGAATCTTCCCATAGTAGAAAAAAAAGCATGTCAAGGATTTGGGAATAATGATGTCCGACGATCTAACGTTTAGGGAGCATAACCAAGCAAATATCGCGTCAGCCAGAAAAATGATCGGATGGATTACGAGAACTTTCAAATTCAGGGATCCCATCACAATGGTTGTACTCTTCAAGTCACTTGTGTTGTCCCGTCTCGAGTTCTGCTCAGTACTCACTTCCCCCCTTCAGAGCAGGAGAGATTGCTGAAATAGAGGGAATACAGAGAACATTTACGGCAGCATAGACGAAATAAAACACCTAAATTATTGAGATCGTCTCAAAGCCCTCCAAATGTACTCTCTAGAAAGGAGACGAGAGAGATACCAAATAATATACACATGGAAAATACTGGAGGGCCAGGTCCCAAATCTACACAGTAAAATAACAACGTACTGGAGTGAACGATATGAAAGAAAATGCAAGATTGAACCAGTGAAGAGCAGAGGTGCCATAGGCACAATCAGAGAACACTGTATAAACATCAGAGGTCCGCGGTTGTTCAACGTCCTCCCAACGACTATAAGAAATATTGCCGGAACAACCGTGGACATCTTCAAGAGAAAACTTGACTGTTTTCTAAGAGAAGTGCCGGACCACCCGGGCTGTGGTGGGTATGTGGGCCTGCGGGCCGCTCCAAGCAACAGCCTGGTGGACCAAACTCTCACAAGTCGAGCCTGGCCTCGGGCCGGGCTTGGGGAGTAGAAGAACTCCCAGAACCCCATCAAGCAGGTGGATGACAGTGAGCACCGTGTGATCACAGAGAGTATCGTGTGATGACACTGAGCACAATATGATTACATTGAGCACCGCGTGATCACAGTGAGCCCTGTGTGATCACAGTGAGCACCGTGTGATCACAGTAAGAACTATATGATCAGAGTGAGCAACGTGTGATCACTGTGGGCACCACGGGAGTTTGGCTCTTCACTCAAGCCCCATTTCATGTTGCCAAGACCTAGAACACTTCTGAGTGATAGACCATATAAACCCATGGAATAACACTACCGTGCCCAGGTGCCAACAAACCTGAGGTGGGTTGTTGGCACCTTCACCGTGGGGAGAAATAAACACTTCAGACGAGGAAGTTTGTCTCGAGAAGACGAACAGTGAGGGACAGGAGAGGAAATATTCTTCAGGACAACATGAGTCCCTGCTCACTAACACATCTTGGCACACTGGAAATACATGCTGCACAAATAAGATACATTCTAGCACACTGGAGATACATTCTACACACATAAGATACATTATAGCACACTGGAGATACATCCTGCACACTGGAGGTACATTCTGACACACACACACACACACACACACACACACACACACACACACACACACACACACACACACACACACACACACACACACACACACACACACACACACACACACAATGCAGTGCATTTCATACTGTGTTTAATTTAAAATAACTGTTAAGGCAAGCACGAATAAACAATTAGTAGTAAGCAAACAATAACAAACTGAGCCTCTAACGATATATATCAAGGGGAAAAACATGTGCAGTTGCAAAAAAAAAATAATTGTTAATTATAAACAGTTCACATCAAGCGATGCATTGCGAACAAATGATGATAATAATAATAATAACAAGAATATTATTAATGCAAATAAAAACGCAGATTTTTTAATAATTATAATAATAATAATAATAATAACAAAAATAATAATAATCATAATAATAACAACAAAAGTAATAAGAAAAATAATATTAATAATAATAAGAATAATAATACATATCATGAGGAACTTAAACAAAAATAATGTTAATTAAAAACGTATAACTAAAAAATTATATAAATAACAATATATATGCAAAATATTAGGATCAAAATGTAGACCATAAACAGCACAATGGCCTGGTAAACCTGATAGCCAAGAACACCATGGTGGGCAGGAACACACACACACACACACACACACGCACGCACACACCAGGTGACAAAAATTAAGCAAGAAAGAGAAGGATGGGCAGACTGCATTTTTTTTGGACTGGCGGAAAGCCTTTGATACAGTACCCCATAAGAGGCTGATACAAACGCTGGAGAGACAGGCAGGAGTAACTCGAAAAGTGCTCCAGTGGATAAGGGAGCACCTATGCAATAGGAAACTGAGAGCTACGGTGAGGGGTGAGACCTCAGATTGGCGTGAAGTCACCAGTGGAGTCCCACAGGGCTCTGTACTCGGTCCTATCCTGTTTCTGATATACGTGAACGAACTCCCGGAGGGTATAGACTCATTCCTGTCAATGTTTGCTGACGATGCCAAAATTATGAGAAGGATTAAGACAGAGGACGACTGCTTGAGGCTTCAAGAAGACCAAGACATACTAAAGGAATGGTCGAACAAATGGTTGTTAAAATTTAACCCAAGCAAATGTAATGTAATAAAGATAGGTGTAGGGAGCAGGAGGCCAGTTACAGGGTATCATTTGGGAGATGAAATTCTACACGAATCAGAGAAAGAAAAAGACCTGGGGGTTTATATCACACCAGATCTGTCCCTTGAAGCCCAAATCAAGAGGATAACATCAGCAGCATATGCCAGGTTAGCTAACATAAGAACGGCATTTAGACATTTGTGCAAGGAATCGTTCAGAACTTTGCATACCACCTATGTCAGACCAATCCTGGAGTATGCTGCCCCAGCATGGAGTCCATATCTAGTCAAGCATAAAACCAAACTGGAAAAAGTTCAAAGGTTTGCCACCAAACTAATACCCGGGCTGAGAGGTATGAGCTACGAGGAGAGACTACAGAAATTAAACCTCACGTCGCTATAAGACAGAAGAGTTAGGGAGGATATGATCACCACGTTTCACCACGATATGATCTTGAGGTTATCTTGAGATGATTTCGGGGCTTCTTAGTGTCCCCGCGGCCCGGTCCTAGACCAGGCCTCCACCCCAAGGAAGCAGCCCGTGACAGCTGACTAACACCCAGGTACCTATTTTACTGCTAGGTAACAGGGGCATAGGGTGAAAGAAACTCTGCCCATTGTTTCTCGGCAGTGACTGGGATCGAACTCAGGACCACAGGATCACAAATCCAGCGTGCTTTCCGCTCGGCCGACCGGCTCCCAAACCACGATTCTTATCACCCACGATTCTCAGAGGAATTGACAGGGTAGATAAAGACGGGCTATTTAACACAAGGGGCACACGCACAAGGGGACACAGGTGGAAACTGAGTGCCCAAATGAGCCACAGAGATATTAGAAAGAACACTTTTAGTGTCAGAGTTGTTGACAAATGGAATGCATTAGGCAGTGATGTGGTGGAGGCTGACTCCATACACAGTTTCAAGTGTAGATATGATAGAGCCCGATAGGCTAAGGAACCTGTACAGCAGTTGATTGACAGTTGAGAGACGGGACCAAAGAGCCAGAGCTCTATCCCCGCAAGCACTAATAGGTGAGTACACACACACACACACACTCACACACACACACACACACACACACACACACACACACACACACACACTCACCCTTTCCTGTGTACTCAACTAGATGAGTACACAGGGGAGAGTAAGAGCATCCTTCACACTCCAGATCATCTTCGTCTGGCAGCCTGCATCATATTTTCATATTGTATCATACCTGTAACTCCACACGGAACCATGCGTTATAACCTCACACAGGACCCCCCACACGTCCTGTGTGGAGGTCCCGTGTCCGCCACACAGGACACTCCCCACGGGACCTCCCACACAGGACTCCCAAACACGGGATCTCTACACGGCAAGGACGGAACAGCAATGGTAGTACAAAAACATAACCTAACTATTAAAGAGGGTCGAGCGTCTCACCAATCGTGGCGACAGACTGGGCGCGCGGACGGGCGTCACTATCCCGCAGGAGGGTGGGCGGGTCCACCGTGAAGGATGTCTCCCTATGGCCGCCCGTGCCGCTCCTGGGAGACCTGTCCGGGAGACAACCCGTTGGTCCACAGTTATTATGATGGACCTATGGTGTGGGGAGTTATTATGGAGGACCTATGTTGTGGGGAATTATTATGGTTGAACTGTGTTGTGAGGAGCTATTATGGAGGACATGTGTTTTGTGGAGTTATTATGGTGGACCTATGTTGTGGGGGAGTTATTATGGAGGCCCTGAGTTGTGGGGGAGTTATTATAGTGGGTCAGTGTTGTGGAGAGTTAATATGGTGGGCCTATGTTCTTGGAAGTTATTATGGTGGGCCTATGTTGTGGGGGAGTTATTATGGAGGCCCTGAGTTGTGGGGAGTTAATATGGTGGAGTGTGATAGGAAGTTATTATGGAGGATTGTGTTGTGGGGAGTTATCATAGTGGACTGTGCTTAGGGGTTAATATTTTGGGTAAATTTTATCCTTTATTTCGTTTTACCAACATGTAAATAATAATAATAATAATAATAACAAACGAATTTCAATTGTTAGCATTAAAAAAATACTAAAACTAAGAATAATAATTAATGAAATAAATATTAATTAAAATAGTACTAATAACGAACATAATAATACAAAAAAAATCAAAAAAATATTAAAAAAATAAAAAAAATGAAAATTATGAACTTATTTTTGTACAGATGTATATCTATGGCATACATGAGCTACTAAACTACTGATGAATTCACACGCATTGATAACTAGTGTTTTCCCTTCCCCCTCCTCTCTCTCTCTCTCTCTCTCTCTCTCTCTCTCTCTCTCTCTCTCTCTCTCTCTCTCTCTCTCTCTCTCTCTCTCTCTCTCTCTCTCTCTCTCTCTCTCTCTCTCTCTCTCTCTCTCTCTCTCTCTCTCTCTCTCTTTCTCTCTTTCTCTCTTCTCTCTTCTCTCTCACTCTCTCACTCTCTCTCTCTCTCTCTTTCTCTCTTTCTCTCTTTCTCTCTTCTCTCTCACTCTCTCACTCTCTCACTCTCTCCACATACCTGCTAATCGTCGCGACGCCGTGGCAGGTTCTGAAAGAGCCTTGAGATTTAAGCGTTCCCGGAGACTTTGGCCTCTTGAGAGTGGAGGAGGGAGACCTGCTCCCGACACACACATACACACACAAGAAGAATAGAAACGCAATTTATTAGACATCTCAGGGCACATTTTATGGGAATTAATACGCATCAATGGAAATGGAGAACTCTAAATAAATATATTAACAAAAATTTCTTTAGCTACCGAATATTAACACATAAAAGGAGGGAAACATCAAAAAGAAAGAATATACGGGTTAGATATTCCACACAGACCATATGACTAAACAGAAGTAAAGATGTTAAAAATTAATAACCTTATCACACATTTAAAGGAAAATAAAATATACATATTTATATATTAAATACACAGGTAACGAGTACTCTGACGTGTCATGGCTGCCATATGAGGATTATTAGGTAATTCATGAACAAACTAACCAACCAGAAAGAATACTCTTGCCCCAGGGGCCATGCGTCTCGGACGCTATAGGAACAAAGAGGTATTGACCTTCCAGTCGCCTGTACTTGAGTGATTTTGTTGTTTTCCTGTGGTTGGCCGCCCCACCTGCTTGATCAGCTCCGAAATGTACATAGGTGTCAACCAAGGTGGATACACATGTGTAGTCCCACACCAACTGTCTATCCTCCTTCCAGGAGTACATGGTGATGCCATCAGGGCGAAGTGCGGGGAAATCCGGGTTTTGGACCCCTAGGATGCGAGGTTCTCTCTCCGCTGGGCACTGAGCTGAGACGAGGCTTCTCTTGATGATGTCATTGACCTCGTTGTGTCTTGCATGCCAGCCCTTTGTGCTTCCACAATGCATCCCATGCAGTCCATATTGGTCTGCCTCCACCCTGTTGCAAATACACTTGTATTCAGTGTGAATTGGGGCACCACGGCGGAGGGCCACTGCTACACGAAGGGATTCTGGATCTAGATGCGTGCCCATTGCTGACATAGGTACTGCCAGGAGGCAGTACCCATGTGCGTGCCCCCTATGTCTCCTGCATGGGGGCACGCACTGCTCTGAGGCGGGCTTTCTCCTTGTCTGATGTTGCGACGCTGAGCATGGCATCAGCTACTTTTTCCACTAGAGGGTGGTCCCAGCCGGACTGTTTGTGTTGTTTTGTTGGCTCTATAATGGTTGCTGGGGCTGCAAGAACATCCCACTGATTTGAACATTCAGTGAAAGCAGGATCGTGTATTCCTGCTGAATCTTTTTTCTTTTTGCTTTCCTAATCTCTTTTTTAACATTTCTAACCAGTTGTATGAATTCCTGTTCTAAACTGACTTCCCCATTCTTAATCCTTTTGTACCAAGCTCTCTTTTTACCTATAGGGTTCTTTAAATTATTTGTTATCCACTTTGGGTCATTAGTATTCGATCTATTCAATTTGTATAGTATACTACGTTCCTGTGCTTTGTTTAGAATATTCTTAAATAAGTTATATATTAAATCCACATCGAAATCCCCTTTTACATCACCTATCGCTGGGTTCATGTCTCGCTCCAAGACCGGCCCCCACCCCATACCCAAGACTTTCCAATCTATTTGACCCAAAAAATTTCTTAGGCTATTAAAATCAGCTTTTCGAAAAGATAGCAAATTTGTTAAACATGAACGGCCATTTGTAAAACCATGTTGCGACTCATTTATTAATTTGTGTTTTTCAAGATGAAGACGAATATATATATATATATATATATATATATATATATATATATATATATATATATATATATATATATATATATATATATATATATATATATATATATATATATATATATATATTCGCATATGCGCTGGGCATATGACCTCAGTCGAATTCTAATTATCTCCACTGATCAATTCGAGTATGTTGAATTACGACGTGTTTGCTCAACCACTAATACGTTTGTTCAAACCTATGAATTTGTTCAACTACTATGAGTTGTTCAGGCACTACAATATTGTTCAATTACAAAAAGTTTCTTCACCACATATGCTCCCGTGCTGAAATTATTTCGTGTGATCCGCCCAAACACAATAAATTGGATATAAATTAAGTTTGCAGTTCAAGAATTTTCTTCGATTTTCTGTCAAAAACGCACGTAAGCAAAACATAATAATAATAATTATAAGGGAAACTGAATAAATAATGACGGATCTCTCGGGAAAACATACTACTGAATATGATACAATAAGCTGCTGGAAGTGTGATTGTAACTTGATAGTCCAAGTGATCTGTCCGCTACCTTCCCGCACCCCTGACTGTTAATTTCAATGTAGTGAGTGGAGTAACTCACTCGCTCGTTTCGAGACCTGTGAGCGGATTATCTCTGTTAGAGAGCTGAGAGCGGAGTGTTTCACCAAGATCTACTAGAAAGCTAAGAGTGAAGTACCTCACTCTGTTCTATTTTAGAACTGTTAGTTGAGTATCTCCTAGCTCTATTAGGGAGCTATGAGATGAGTATCTTACTCTGGTCTGTTAGCTAGCAGCTAGTGATCTCACTATACTTTATAGTGAGATCGAATTGAATATAGTATCTCTGCTCTACTCTGTAAATCTTCGTAACATTGTATCAGAATGAATTATTATTATTGCCATCAGTAAGAACTTAATACCTTTGGAAATAAAAATATTCGTTTAAAAGTCGTTATCCACTCTAAAGTAAAATTTATCGCACTTTGCATAAGAAATTGTCCTCCTAAGACACATTCCAATGCTCAAAAGAATGTCCAGATAAAAAGAAGAGCCAACTACAGTTTCTTCACAAGTGCTTAAGAGAAAAGGGACTGCAGAATTCTTTGTTGCTGAAAAAAGATTTGTTAATTGTAATACTTTTTTTTTAGAAGTTGATTAGTTAATCCAGAGAGGACTCATAAAGTGATGTGAACTGAGGTATATAAAATATTCTGCAGTTTACATGCCGTGTGATTAAAGATTGATTTTCCTTAATTCATTCTGAGATTGATACTCTTGACGGAGTGAGATGATTTCACTGAAGGTGGTTAACTATGTATTTAACAATTAAGTGTTTTTCTTGTTTAGGACGACTACGTGAGTACAAGACAGCAGAGCACCAAAGATTATTAATTATCCTCTTATACTTTAGATAATTCCCCTAACATGTGTTTTAAGCTGCTGATTATCCCTTTTGCTGTCTGCAGCTCCCTATTACATTCACAAATTAATTTCTTCTTTAAAAACATTTTTAACAGTTTTTCTCTTTTAACCAGCGAGGTTGATGTTTGAGAGATCAAAGGATACCTTAACTCAATTTTTGAGGTTATTGAACGTGGAAATAATATTAGGATTACTTCTTTTGGAGCTCTGATTTGCTTGTGGGAAAACTCCAAAATAGTTACCAGAAAAAATACGATTAAAACGTTATTAGCATATACTAATTACGTGTGAAATTAATTAATTACTATAGGATGGATCTATTTGTTTTAGCCTTTAGTCGAATTCTTTGTAATCGATTCACCGTTATTTTCAAAAATTAGGTTGATGGCTTTGTTGCGGGACCTTCCCGTACAAAGCTACAAATATAGATGTTTGTTTGTCCTCTGTGCTCCCGCCCGCCATTCTCGCTATGACAAACAAAATAATGACACGTTGCTTTTTGGGTAATTTGTTTGGAAGTGACCAATATTTTCTTGTCTCCTCCTATAGTTGTCATATTTCTTACTAAACTTCTTTTCCCAGATACAAGTGTTTTGTGAGAGCGCGATTCAGGACCATGTTAACGGACTGGATGTTGGCTACTCTCACTCTCCTCCTTCATGGGTAAAGTAAACACGGGGTATTTTGAGACTGAAATTTGTATTGCCATAGAGGATTTTTAACTTTGCGTGGCTTTGGCTACGTTTATGAGATTGATGCAGTTCTTGCAAAGCCAGCTAATGTGAACTATTAGTTTTAATATTGTTTTAATGCTTCAGGTATAACTATTATCTTTAAAACATAAAGGAACTTCCTTTCACCGATTGACAAAACGGAAGAATCAGTCCAGAAAGACATCACTGAGAAAAACATGAGTCCTACTGACACTAACCAAAAGATACAGTTCACAATTTCTTAAAAGAACATCATCGCTAACTCAATAGGAATTCCTAACACCAAGGAGAACGCCTTGAAACAGACGATTGTCGCCTATGTCTTTGCAAACGCACCCGGGGACTGTCTCTGCCCCCAACAATCTCAATATATTGACATGACAACGTTTTTTCATGGCGACTAACAATGCACAAGCAACAAGGCTCTATTAATGAGCACATAACTTTTAAGGAAAACCTAACCATCACCAAAGATATCCCTAACCAACAACACCAAAATAATCGACAGATTCAGTGACAACTTAACACATCACAAGCAGACAGATTAGACAGTGTCGAAATGTTAGTTAATTATCATATATTAAAAGGGCGTAATTCGAACATTCAGTTTCTTCATTATGTATAATGTTCTGTTTTGATACAATAGGATTCAATGCTACTATTGATTAGTTTAGCCATTTATTATACGTTTCATACCCATCGCGTGGATGGGGACGGACCCCATACCCATCCTTTAGAAGGTGGTGGATCCCATAACCATCCTGTAGACGGTGGTGGATCCTATACCCATCCCATGGACTGTGGTGGACCCCGTACTTATCCCGTTGACGGTGGTGGACCCCATTCCTATCCCGTTGACGGTGGTGGACCCCATTCCTATCCCGTGGAAGGTGGTGGACCCCATACCCATCCCATGGACGGTGGTGGACCTCATACCTATTATATTGACGGTTGTAGACCCCATACTTATTCCACGGACGGTGGTGTACACCGTACACAACTCGTGGACGGTGGTTGACCACGTACACATCCCGTGGACGGTGTTGGACCACGTACCCATCTCGTGGACGGTGTCGGACCACGTACCCATCCCGTGGACAGTGATGAACCCTATTCCTATTCCGTAGATGGTGGTGGACCACGTACCCATCCCATGGAACATTATAACAATATTGTAATGTTGATAAACCTATGTAATGTTGTAACAAGATTGTAACAAGATTGTAATATTATTGTAACTGTTTTATAAACATTAAAACAATGAAGGTAAAGGTAAAACCCAATATATCTGTGTAATTGTATTAAAAAACTAATTTCCGGATATAATCTACATGTTTTTTTAAAAGTACTGTATCCAATGTTTAATGTTCAATGCCTAATAAATATACAATGTAAACAATTAACATTGTATACAGTACCTTAATAAAGGATGTAGGTTACATAAGAAATTTGGTGTGAAATACACTTATATATATATATATATATATATATATATATATATATATATATATATATATATATATATATATATATATATATATATATATATATATATATATATATTTGTAAGATTATTTTATGAAC